TTGCATCCGCAGCATCCGCTAGAGCAGGCACTGATGGGCATGGAAGGAAACCCCGGACCCACTTGTGGGCACACGTACCCAGGACCGCTCCCGGCATCTTCTAACCGTGCCAAACCCTTCTGTTTGCAGGCTCGTTTTGACGCAAGTTCACTTGTTCATTCAGTGGAAATTGCTGTTAAACCACCACTTACAGCATCAACAAAGATAATTATTTGAAACCCTCATTGCTGCTGGATAGCCACAGTTCATATGGCAACTGTTTTTTTATAGAGCAGCTTATTTAAATGAAAAAAGTGTAGTTTATAGTCACAGGTAGACTGTAATTCAAACAGTGGGTTTTTTTTTTAAACTGATTTAGAAATATTTGCGTTCTGATTATTTTGTTTTGAGTATATTGCTTCAGCACGTGGAGAGAATGATCTCTAATAAATCTGAACCTACCAGTCGCAGTTACATGCCCTGTATGCTTAGGTGTTTTTTTCCCCTCTTTTTAGCAATAGGCATCTTTTGTTAGCTTAATTATATAGAAAACCTTGAATGAGATCTTTTCAAACGCTCGGATAAATGTTCCTTTTTGTGGAAATAACGCTGTTACCTATTAGGCCTCATTCACCTTCACATTTCTTTTAGGCAGACTAGATCCAAAAATGTAAATGAGGAAAAGAGAGTAAGCGCACAAGTCCCTCTGCATCTAGAAATAAAATAATAAAGCTGAACTTGTATTGAAATATATTAAATTCTATATTGAAATATATTAAATTCTATAATTTTTTTTGGTTTTGCATGGTCAGATAACTTGATGGACTTGTAAAACGTAACTTGTCAGACATCTGATAAAAATTTGTGCTAGAAAAACTATACAAATAATGTAGTTCTTATGTGCTGGCTTCTAAAAGTACAGCAATAGTTAAAAAGACTGTCAGTGTTACTGTTATTGTTCTGTTTCTCTGGGAGAGAGTTGTATATGGAGATCATACAAGGAAACTAACCTAAACATTTCGTCTTTAGGGTTCTCTTGGCTTTTAAGTCTTATGCCTCAGGCTAAGCACGGCTTCCTAGCATAATAGTCTTAGTAAGGAGAAAGGGTGAACTCAGGAGGGACCCTTATGCCTGCTTGAAGCCTTCTGAATTTCGGGAGCCCTGTTTCAGAGCTGCGTGGGTGTGCCGAGTTCAGGGGCTGTCTGCACAGGCTCTTTCTTACCGCCTGGACTTGGGGAAGGCAGGGAACCTCCGCGGAAGCCGTTATTCCAGGGTGAGTAGAAGGGAGCGATCTAAGCCCTGCGAATTTTGCAGAAGAGGAGAGTGCTTTTTTAGATATCTGTTTGTGCTGGGGGTACCTGTCTGTGGGCACAGATAGTTGGAGGGTGTGTTTTTGTGTTTTTACTTTGGTTTGGTTGGTTTGTTTGTTTGTTCGTTTTTCACTCTAGGAGTATATTAGGTGCAGTCTCCGGACTTCTCCTTTCTCCTTCTGTGCATACCGTACAGGGATGAAGTGTTAAGTGTGTTCCTGTTCCTCTTAGCTGCTCAGCTGACTTAAAACCTTTCCTTTCCTCATGAGAGAATGTGTGATGAGGTTTCTATCTGTTGACTTGATTTACTACTCTCTTCTTCAGTTAGGGACTCTGAAGCCTCTGGTCTGCCTAGTTGCAAGTGAGCTTCTACCTGCAGTTATCCACAACGTGTATGCACACTTAAACAGGTAGAGGTTGAGGGAGAGAGATAGACCATTTACCTGTTACCATTTTCTTTGGGGCGTATTATCAGGAAGTGACCTCACGTCCTTTTTCCGCTCTCCTTCAAAGTCTAGTCTTGTCTTTGGCCCTTCTGACTGAGAGAAAAGAGTATTTGCTGCCTCTATTCTTACCCTATGAGATGCATGCAGGGGGAGAAGGGGTACAGCTGGGTTTAAAAGGTCTTTGGCCCCCAAATTCTCCTACAGCGTGGCGAAACACCTAAACAGCGTGCTTCACACCAACACTGACAGCTAAGTAACCTGTCCTCTCCAAGGATGCTCTTTGCATTTAGTAGTTTAGTACGGAGAAGAAGTATTTTTCTGAAGGCGTTCGTTTCTTCAGCTATTGACTGTGTTCTTCAGCACGCAGGGGCAGGTGGGGAGAAATCCTCTCGTAATGCATGCAGTATGCAAGACATCAAACGTAGGAACGTTTATATCTTTGCACTTACTAATATCATGAGCAGCCCCATTGAAGTCAACAGCTTTTTTGTAATGGAAACCAGGGCATCATAAATATGTACAGATTTAGTATCTGGATGAAGAAAGATAACTGGTCCTTCGTGTGTGGGGTTTTTTTTTTTGTTTATTTGTTTTTTAACCTGGGATATAGGAGCCTGACTAGGTCAAGTCCTTGATGCTTCATTTATAGTCAGGGGGAGAAAAAGAAGGCTGAGCTCTGAGTGCAAATGCTTAATTTTATTCCTCTTCAGTTTCTTTCCAGTATATTCAAATATAGGTCTTTCTGAGACTTTACAAGTTAAAAGAAGTAAATTTATGTTTCTTCAGTGTAAATGCACTGTATTTCTAATTGTTGGAATAGCCCCTACTGCACTATGTGCAAGAAAAACAGCTTTTGAGAGTCTGTGATGTGGTATTTGTCCTTCATTTTGCATCCTAAATACAGATAAATAGTCTTTTGGAAACCTGAATTAAAACTACCCGGCAGTAATATAATGTTACTGTCTGTACATTAGTGATATCCATTAGTTACGATGTAAACCCACATAAACCGGTTGAATTTAGTTGAGAATGGTGCATAATGCTTGAAATGTCATCCTTGCAGAAAATGAACTGCAGAAACATTGGAACAGGAGCTTTATGTCCCTATATACATGAGTGCCCAGAATTTTTATGAGCAGATACTGCCGACTGTGCGCCACAAGGAATTTATAGGGACAAATTCACATTGGAACATGGCATCATAAGACATACTGCTTAGAAAGGTAGGAACTTGCTTTTAACTGATGAAAAGTATCCCCCTCACCTTTTTTTTTCGTTTATTTAAACGAGCAAATTTAGTAGAGAAACTAGTTTTGTCTATTAAATTTATGTGCTGCTCAGATGTATTATTTCTGTGATCTATTTGTTTTGGCTTAAATTGATAAGGATTAGATGTGTCCAGTGCTTAGATGGAAAGCTTTTACAGGCAGAAAATACATAGTGGTAGGAGAGGAGCAGCTCATCTCATGTCACTCTTTTCTATAAGTAGCTTGGGCAGTTGCTACGGCGTGTTATGGAGCAATGTTTTACTACTCATGCTGCTTTCTCAGTGTGGTTTGTAAAACCCACAGGTCTTACTGTGGAGTATTTATTAATTAACAAGCCTTTGTGTTTAGGATGTTAGCTTTTAAAAAATTAGAAAGTTTCCACCTTTAATTAAACAGCATAGTGACACTTGGTGAGATCAAACATATTAGTAGTCAGTATTGCTGATTATTTTTTTTTCTGAATGGCATGGCTCCGTTAATTTGCAGAATGAAATTTCTGCCATTACTGAGTTATCTCCAGTCTCCAGCCTTCCTCTCCTAAAAGGCAGTGATGTCTCATAACAGCATGCTATCAACAAGCAAGCGCGTGGGGCTCGGTCAAGCTGCCTATAGCAAAGTGTTTTGAGTCACACCATTAGGTTGTTCCTGCTTATGATAAATATAATGCAATTTGATTGGATCTCATATCATTTTGGCACCGTGAGTATTCTGCTATTTACAAAATAAGTGTTTGGTTATTGCATGTTTCAGAAAGTTAGGGAGATGAGACTTCATCAACTTTATTCTGGTACTGAATGACAGCCGTTACTCTTTTGGTGATTGGTGTCTAGATTTTATTAGAAAGGATCTCCAACGTTAGAACCGGCTTGCAATAAGCAACCGTTTCATCGGTCTCAGCAGACAGGTAAGGATTAAGCAAATGTCAGACCCATGATGACTCCCACTTCGGTAAAAAGAAAAGTATGTCAAGAGCACTGAGGTGAGCTTTGCCCTACTGCAGTCTGTGCTGTATGTGCTTTACGGATAGGCAGCAGATACATCCTGTAAGGCTGTTGTTTTGGCAAAACAGTCAGTAACACGAAAGACCAATTCCTGTCCTCCCTTGCACTCAAAAAGAATCAAATACTCTTCTTCCATCTGTGAGGAAGGTAGGTTGAGGCGCGGTGGATCCAAATGAACATGGAACAGTGATGGTCTGGCATTCACCGATGCACGTTTTGTATTATATGCAGTCCGAGTGGTGAACGGGAAAGCTAAAACTTGGCATTATTCTTTCCCTGAAGTTCTGAAAATGCCCTCTCTAAATGCAGATGCAATCAGCGTTATGTTGGGTTTGGTCTCCTGTTGTCAGTTGACAGCTTTGGGTGGAGGAAACCTGCTCCAAAACTTTGGGACCACAATAACAAGCTTGATGTGATGTGACTGAGACCTGCTTCCTCCTGGAGTGTCTCCATGGAGTTTGGGTGGGTAGTGGCTGGAGAGGACACCAACCTTTTTGATTACCTTCTTAGATAGAAACCCACAGACGTTCTTCAGATGTTAAACTAACAGCGAGTTTGAGATGACTGAAGCCCAATTATGTTCAATAGAAAAACATAATGTATCTTCACGCCTCTGGAATGGAAACTGTACGTCTGCTACTGTTCTCTTTGAAGTCACCGCCAAAACTGTTCCTGTCAATGCAGAATTTTGTTTTTCTACATGCGTGCTTAGTTTTCAGTATCTTAGGTGGAAGTAGCTTTAGCAAAAAATAACTGAGTTAAAGACAAAACAAGTACTCTGAACAGGTTATTTTTTAGCAACAACTTGGTTAGTCTTTTAAAATAGTCTTTGTAATTTTACTTTAGAAAGCATTATTTCATTAGCTATATCTTTAAAATATTTTCAAAAAAAAGCTACAGTACAGATCTTTCCTTCATCCTCAAGTATGTTACAGTTACAAAATGGAACATTTAAAAAAAAAAAAAAAATAGGATGAGTAACAGTTTTTCAATGCTGTTGGGAGAGGAAAAGAAATAATCATTCCCAGATTATGTAACTGATGGTAACTTTATGAAGTAATTGTAGAAGCAACTGATAGCAGACTTTTGAGGAGTCGAATTCTACATAGAGAGCAAATGACAATTTATTTTCATTTTAAACATAAAGAATTGCCTTATTTTTTTCTGTGGCAGTTACTCTAGTGACTGTGTAAATTTCTTTGTGTTCTCCAGGTGCTTTTCACACATGAGTGCAAGAAGAACTGCTAGTTAAAAGAAGTGATTGTTATGGAGGACAGCATGACCACCATGAAAGGGAGCTGCCTCCTTGCACTGTTGCTGGCAGGACTTGGGGTATTAGGAACACTGGAGCCAGCAACAACAGAAGATACCCACTGCCAGAGAGCTGAGCACCCAGTTATTGCATACAAAGGTATGGAGTAAATGAAAAAGTGTCTTTTCCTCTTCCTAAAATATTTTCCAGAAATAGGCTAAGGATTTTGTAGTCCCATCGTTCCTGGAAGCTTCTGTTTGTGCTGTAAAATGATGTGGAAAAAAAATGCTTGCAGTGCTGTTATATCATCATGTTAACTATGTTCCATACAGGTTAAACGCAAGTTTACAAAGTTTGCTTGCAATCTGATGCTGAATGTGTCAGTAGAAGACGGATCATTCATTTTCCTCTGCAATTAAAATATAGAATTAGGATCATACTATAATGGGGTAGTTCAGGTTGGAAGGGAACCTCAGGAAGTCACTGAGTCCAACCTCCTGCTTAAAGCAGAGCTAGCTGTGAGATCAGACAAGACGGCTCAGGGTTTTATCCAGTCTTATCTTGAAAACCTCCAAGGATGGAGACTGCACAACCTCTTTGGGCAACCACAGCTTGATTGTCCTTACAGTGGAAAAGTTTATTGCTTATATCTAGTCTGAGTCTCTTGTTTGAACTTTAGCCAGTTGTCTCTTGTCCTCCCACCGCGTACCACTGAGAAAGTCTTGGTTTCATCTCCTTGATAACCTCATAGGTGTTGGAAATTGCTATTAGATCCCACTCAAAGCCTTCCCTTCTCTAGGCTGAACAAGCCCAATTCCCCCAGCCTCTCCTTGTACCTCGGGTGCTCCGGTCCCCCAGCTTGTTGGCCCTCCACTG